CGTGAAGATAACACAGTAGGTGACTTTGGGTTTCTAGTTTGCTACTCCGTACAGCAAAAAGGGGGAAATTGGTTCTATACCAGTAACTTTGCCCTGGGGTGGTGTTGCTGGCCTAAGCACCAGGTGGTGGAGTCCATGGAGGCATTGGAAAGGTATGGATGTTTGGGACGAGGGAGCAGGTGTGTTACTAATGGGTAGAGAATTTATCCCACCCCTTCCAGGAAGAAGTTGAACTTTGGCGGAATTCAAGACGGCATTTCACCCCAAAGGGTTGATATTGTGCAATCGGAGAGAAAATAAAAATGAATCTTACGCCTGCCTCCCTGCAAAAGCAGCCATCGCTGGCCGCTCGAGGCGGCTCTGCTCTGGTCGGGAAGGAGTGGCTATAGGTTGTAGTGCAGTCCATACGTGGAGGGCCTGTATGTCTGACTGCTTGGGACTGAATCTCTGCTGTGGCGTGAGCAGCTTCTTCCAGGTCTTCCGAGCTGAGGCAGCGGGGAACTTTACTGCTTATTTATTTACTTATTTAGAGCTTTAAATAGTTCATGGTTGAGTGGGACAAAAAGAAATGTGTTCTGCTTGCTGCTTCTCTGAAAGTCTGATTGGCAAACAGAAAGTGCCAGCTTCGGTTCATGGGATTTGGGCTTTTTGTTGGTGTTTAGCCAACCTTCACCGTCTTGGGAGAACACTTATAAATCCTGTAGTTTTGCCCTTCTAAGCAGAAATGATTCCTGATCCCCTGAAGTCCCACTGGGGAATATCTTACTCACTCTCAAATATTGACCTCTTGAAAGGAAGCAGCATCTCGGCTGTCGATTCCCTGCGGATAGTGAATGAAATTGGAGATTTGTGGACAGCCTGCTGGTTTAAGATGGAGGGGGGAACCCCAAGCCTAGCTAAATATAGTCCGTGTACCAATAGTCCTTCTGGGCTGTCCTCTCACATGCAGTTCTTTTGTGACTGGGGACCAGGGCCTGATACGGCTTTGAAATATCTGATTTCTAAGTGCTGCTTGGATTTTTCAAGAGGTAATAGAATATTTCCTGAGGTTTTCCTAAATGACCTATACCAGCAGGGCTCCGACATGGCGACCCACCAGCCTGGGAGGGACAGCCTTCTGCTGGGGCATGGTTTGTAGGAAGCTAGAGGCTCTCGGACGGGAGAACTGTGGCCGTTGTTCGGGTGGGGAGTTTGGCCAGCTCTGTGGTTTTGGTTTTTCCCCTTGTTCTCTTTGCCAGCTTTGTCCCATCCAGAGAGACTGTTGGGGTGTTTTCTTCATGAGCTGAGATTCGAGAGGTCTTTTCTCCCTGAGCCAACTCCTACCCTCCTTCGGGGTTGCTGTCTGCCCTGTGTGGGTGAGTGGAAGGATTTCCAAAACGCCCTTATCTTGCTCTGCTGGAAAAAACCTGTCTTTCCTATACCTGCTGTACAAAGGCTGCAGACAGCCAGGGGAATACTATTGCCAGCAGACAGCGTTGGATAGCTGTCAAAAAGCTGATGCCCCTCTGCCCTCATCCATATGGAAGAAGGTCATCGTCTGCCTCTGCCTGCAGTAAGATCCTTCTAAAAGGCTATGCAGTAGATATTTATTTTTTCAATAACTGCCTTTCAAAGGGGAAAAAAAATGAATGCAGCGTGGAGAAATCCAAGACCCAGTTTGTTCAGGTCATGCCTTCTGCTGTTCGCGTTGACATGTCTGTTCCAGTGATAGCTTCCTGCGTGGTGGAAGATGCAGCTGGGAGCTCCGATAACCCCCTGAGCTCTCACGGAGCAGGTGGGAGCTTGGCAGGAGCCACTGACAGGTTTCTTTGTGTAAAATATTCCTCATTCTGAGTGGTTCTGTTCTTCCTCTTTAGCTCAGTAGCTGGGTAAGGGAAGCGAGAAATGTGGTAGGGGCCAAATTCTGCTCTGCATGCATCCGCTTTTGAGAAGTGCCTACAAGAGCACATGTCATGGGTCCAGCCTGTTCATCGCTGCAGTTAAACATTGCTTAAATTGAAGCATACATTTGTGCGCATCATGAAAAGTGTAGAGGATCCTTTTGGTCACAGGCTTCTGAGGTTTATAAGGCTGCTAGATTTTGGAAGAAACCCAATATGAAATAGCTGCTGCCTGCAATTTCTGTTCATCTGATATGGGTGGGATGACGCCAAGTTCTCTGGTAGACTGAGATGCGGTGGGGTGTGTTTGTGAGGGGAAGAATTCTGTGATTCTGTGATTAGTACCTGCCACTTTTCTGCTTTTGCCCAGCTATGGTAGGATTCAAGAAGCCCTCAAAACAAGCTGTTTGGAAGTTGCTGAAAACCACAAGCAAGCCTTGCTGGTGAGATGGCTGCACACCAGAGTTCAGAGGCTGCTTTAGTTTCAGTTTAACGGTCTGTCTGGCCCTGCTGATCTGCGACCAGTGACGTCCAGTGTCATAACCCGGCTCCAGGAGAGGCCAAGTAAAGGGGCAGCGGCTGGGGGGCCCT